AGGAAGGAAGGAAGGAAGGAAGGAAGGAAGGAAGGAAGGAAGGAAGGAAGGAAGGAAGGAAGGAAGGAAGGAAGAAGGAGAGGAAAGAACATAGAGAAGGAGGAAAGAGAGGACAGAATAAAAGAAAAAGAGAAATGAGCAAGGAGGTAAGGAGAAGGAAGAAGGAGAAAGAAGAATGACAGGAAGGAACATATAAAAAAGTGGTGAGGAGAGAAAGAGGGGAAGGAAGAAAAAAGGAGAAAGGAGGAGGAGTAAAAGGAACAAAGAGAAGGAAGAAACATGAAGGAACGGGAGGAAGAAGAAAAAGGAAGGAGAGGAAGGAAGGAGAGTAAGGAAGAAGAAAACAAGAAGAAGGAAAAAGCAGAAGGAAGGGGAGGGAAGGAGAAGAAAGAAGGAAAGAAAAATGATCAATGAGAAGAAGAGAAGAGGGAGAACAAGGAGAGGATGGGATTTTCCTCTGTGCCAGAGGTAAAGGGAAGGAGATCCCCCCAATCCATTCCTGGCAGGACAGTGATGGCAGACGGGTTGTCCTGCAGCCAGGGGCGATGCTGGGCTGGGAGATGGAGCAGAGGAGAGTGGGAAAGGGGCAGTGACTTCCTCCTCACCTGCCTGGGTTCTCTGGGACATCTTCGCCTTCCTCACAGCCTTATCTTCCATCCACAGCTAAGGGTTGGGAATGAGAAATCCTGCTTTGAGGGATAAACAAGGTGTGGGGGGTTCCTCCTGCCCAACTCCATCTCTAAAAGTCACTGGGCATCCCGTGTATGTAAAAACCTCTAAACCACCAAGATTCAGCCCAAAAAAACCCCAAAGATTTAGCCCCCCAAAACTCCAAGACACTAAGCCCCCAATACCCCCAAACATCATATTTCAACCAAGAAAACCCCCTCCAAAATAAGAAGATCCAGCTCCCAAAAACCTGAACCACCAATTTTCAGGCCAAAAAAGCCTTTTTAAGATTTCCCTCTCTCTGGGTTTCTGGGGGTCCCGCTGGGGGTCCTGCAGGTCCCCCCACTTATGGGTGCCTGGGGCTTGCAGAGTCCTGGCAGCTTATGAGGTGAGTCAAGCTGCCTCAAAAGTGACTGGCACAGAAATACAGCTGCCTCTGGCACTTCAACTGCCAGATGCAACTGGGCTGGACGTTTAAAGGTCAAGTGTCTACAACACATCATGCCACCAATGCTACCTGCAGTAAGTGGACCACTCTGACCACACAGCAAGCTTCAACAGGAAATCCAAACCACCCTGGGACCTTGGAAGTCATCACAAAGTGGCCCAAAGGTGAAGGTGTTTTGGATTATCATCGAATGAGAAAGAAGAGCAGGTCATATGTGCTGAGAAAGCCCCATCATATAACCAGCTACTGAAGAGTGAGAGGCAACACAGTTCCTTCCCAGACAGACCCTGCTGGATTGTAGGGAGCGGCAGGAAATGGAGGAGCAGCTTATGGAGCCCTATATGGTGAGTCATGGAAGCTGTGAAGGGACATAGGCTGCAAGACATATGTCTGTAACTGTACTGGGAGTGGCTGGGACCACACTGGGCATGGTGAGGACCATGGTGGGGTAACTGGGAGCATGGTGGAGGCAACTGAGAGTAATTAGAGGTGACCAGGTGGACACTAGGAGTGACTGGGACCATACTGGATTCATAGTCATGCTTGAGGTGCCAGGGGTGGTGTTGGGAAGAATAAGGATTTGACAGGAAGGTCTCACAGATATGTATGTACAACAGAAAGATCTTTGAATGTAGAATGTGAAGAAGGAATAGAAATGATAGCAAGTTTTGATCTAGAAGAAAAGAATTGCTGAGCCAGTCTTACTGGGTAACTGGAAGGCAAAGAGCAAGTGAATTGGAAGGGGCTTGTATGACTTAGAGCAAAGGATAAATCCATCTCAAACAAAAGATGTTTTTACCAAGCAAAAAGATTTTCATAGACAAACAAGAAAGATAATGTTGCAAGTAACGATCTCAGAATTTTCCACTGCAAGAAAACTGAAAAAGAACTTCTAGCTTAAACTGTAACACACTAACCTTTTGTGATTGGAAATAGTAACATGAATATGGTAATGTTAGTAGTTAGGATAGGCTATAGGTAAGACTAAAGGTATTGATTGGTTGTCATGTTTTAAGATGTTCTGCAATGAAAAGTATATAATGCATTGTAACCGGAACTAGAGAAGCTTCAAAAGAACCTACAGCTGTGGCTGAAAAGGCTGTGGGCTGGGCTTTTGTCACCTGCGACCTGCGAATTGCTGTATCATTTGGATATGATAAACAGCATTTTAAAGAACCACCTGGAGCCCTGCATCCCCCAGTTTTGGCTCTTACAGAGTGGTCCATAATACGTGAAATTTGCTGCAAGCTCCAGGGCAATGATGTTGAGAGACAGGGCACCACCTGGGGCAACTCCTCTCCGTCTTGTATGTTCATGAGCCCTCATTCCACATTCCTGAATTGCAGGTACTGAAGTGGATTCAAATGGGCTCTGGAGCAGCAGAAGTCAGCAGACAACCTCCAAGTGTCTGAGGGTGTTGGTGGTCCCCACTGGGGCCATCGCGGGAGAGGCCACGGAGGGGATAAGCTGATAAGGCTGCCATCCACCGGGGCTGGTGAAGCAGCAAGTCAGAGGCCACTGATTACAGGTTGAAAATCAGACACGGAGGTTCCTGTGAGAACACAAGTTACCTTTCAAGAAGCAGGATGTTCACACTCTGAAGCCCATCCCCAAGGAATGGGGACTTTTCCCCATGGGACGCTCAAGGCTCCTTCTGGGAGCGGGGAGGTGTAAGGGTAGGATGTTCTGACTGCAGGACAGCAGCAAGACTCCTGTCAGGCTCTCTGAAGGATGGGTGAGGACATAACAAACTGCTGGGGCTATAAGGAGCTGATGTGCCCTCTCAGGCACTACAGCAGCCAGAGCTGATAGAAGGATTTCAATTCTGTTGTAAGGTCCCAGCCTTCACAGAGTGACCATCTCCACCACTGCCCTACATTGTCCTGTGCCTGTGCCTCTGTCTCTGCAGATTTTAACCAGCACCCTGCTCCCTCACCTCGCTGTGACCCCATGGTGTCTCAGGCATTACTGCTGACTTTTTGTCCACACTATTTCTTCAAACACAAAGCTCTGTTTTCTGAGGTCTTTAAAATACCTATGAGTTCCCTACAATTTGTGCAGCTCCTTCCCAAGCCATGCTAATGCTCCTCAAGCACCCAAGATGCCCTAACCCGCAAAGTTACTTGAATCTTCTATGTAGCTCCATGTCCAAATACTGAACTGCACATCCTCCTTCTGCTGCATTAAAATCAAAACTCAACCTATTTCACCTCAGCCAGGAGGTTTGCCCATCCTCCAGGCTCACAAATGCTTCCTGAGGTGTAGGCAAGCACAGGGAGGGAAGGAGGATGGGAGACCAACCACAGCTGATGGGGCATGACTGAGCACAGCTACCCCAGCAGCAACACCCCCCATCTCCGAAGCTGAGTCACAGGTGCCAAAATCTGTATCATTCTTGATTTGCACAGGAGGGGCCTTCCTTCCTGCCATCTTTCCAGGACTAACATTATCCTTGTATCGTCTGCCAGAAGACATTAACTGTTTACCATTTCTGGGTTCATACTTGGTCTAAAGAATTTGTTTAATCCCTTGCTTCTCACTAGCATCCCCTGATCCTCTCTCTCACACCCATGGTCAATCACTGCTACAACGACAAATGAACAAACAGAAGATCTTAATCAGAATTACTTACTACACAGGATAAAAGCTAAAACCAATAGTTGACCATAACATAAAATGGCAAAGTGCACTATATTGTGCAGTATATTGTGCACTATATTTGCACTATATGGTGCAAAGTGCACTATATTAAAGTGATTCTGTTAAAGCGATTATATAGCAAAGCTAGCAAAAGAAACACTATGTAGAGGTTGATCTATCTCACCACACCCTGTTTCATGGGGCACTTCTTCCTCTTTCTCTCAATCCCTGGGAAGTAATTGGTGAAGAGGTGTCCAAACCCACGGAAGAAACTCCACATACTTCAAGCATATGGAAGAATTGAGCAGTATTGAAATGGACTGGATTTTCATAGTGTGAAGGACTTGGCTGTCTGACATAGGCCTCCAGGTCAATTTAGCAGCCTGTTTGTCAAGTCTTCAAAGGGACAAATATGTGTTTGAAGATGGTGGGCCAGAAGGGCTTTTTAGCATATCCATCACCAAAAAATAACACTTACACGTCTGGTAACTCATCACACATAGTTTGCATTGTTTGTATCTTCTGACCAGACACCCAGCCAAGCAGACAAGCTTTATCAGGGCAAATCCTTCTGTCACTCTGCCTCCAGTGCTCATGGTGAGCCTTCTTGTCCATAACAGGGCTTTGATGACAACCAGATATGAATCAGTTGGTCCTTTCTCTAGTCACAGCAAAGCACCAAGTGCATTCAGAGAGATGCCAAGTGAAGCACTGGTAAGAGCCTGATGAATAACCCCCACGGGTGGTGCTTCCTTGGTAAGAAGTCTGTCCTGAGTAGGGGAGTCAGCCCTTCCACTCTCTGGATTGGAAACCAGCAGTGTCAATGCCAGCTGGGAACAAAAAAGGCCACGTCTGCAAGGCCACCCTTCATCTGAACTACTTTTGATGTTCAGCAGCAGATGTGGGGTCATGTCTTGAAGTGCAAATGCTGATGCAACTGGTATTGCCCAGTTTGCTGGTTTTACTTGGGGACAGATAAATTCAGAGAGAGGTTCTCTTTATGAGAACTTTTTTTGTGAGTTGTTTTGTAAGATTGTAGGGGTGAACTGATGTACTGAATATTCCTATAAACCATGGAGAAAGACATGGGGGGTTGGAGATGTTCCATTTGATAGATTATTAATCAAAAGCATCTGTGTTGACAATCCTTCACCCCGAGGAGAAAAGGGGATCTCTTTTCCTGGAGATGAAGCATGAACAGAGAGAAAGAAAGATGAAGAGAATTTTTAGTTTGGAACAGTTAATTCTTAAAAGTAAATACCCCATGGGTTTAACATGGCCCATAAGCACAGCTTTGGGAAAGCTGTGAAAATGGGAGGAGTCTCACGATTTTCCAAGTTCTTTTCCCGGGCGGATGCGAATCCTAAAAAGTGAAGTCACAAAAGAACTAGGTTTTTTTCCCTCCTTATAAAAAAGTCCCTATGGCCTGACAAAAAGAAACTTCTCTCTCCAAGTAAACTAAAAAAAACTATTTAAGTTGGAAACTAACTGAAATCGTTTTTGTATGTTTGTTTTGTTGTTATGAAGAAGGAGAAAAGGGAAGGAAGAAGTAGTCCGAAAATCTTATTCTAAATTTGTTTTTCTTTCTTTTTTTTTTATACCCTTTTAAGTTTTAAGCCTGCCTTGCTCTTTTGCTCCTGTTTCTGTCTCACAACAAAAAAATAAGTATATTCAAATTAGCAAATCAAGTCTTTGACATTACTTAATGCATTGGCCGAGAAATTCAAATTAAACCAAGACACCCAGGCTGACTGGTACAGCAGCTATTAAATCCTCCCTGGTTCCTCTAACAAGTGGAAAGCTCAGTGCAGATCACGATCTCTGATCTGATACAGGTTGCTGCCTGTATATTTGATGGTATAGGATCCAATTGTATACATTTTTTGGAGATAAGGTTTCAACAGCCTTATCAGGAGCTTGGGAGGTGATGGAGGGCATCAGGAGGGTCTAAGTTAGTTTTTATTGTGCCAATATGCATCAGCCCAGTTAGGGCTGTGGATACATTATACCTCCACATGCTACTACTTCCCTTTCCCTATTTTGTTTCCATGTAATTCTCTCAGAGCAGCTACTGGCTTTGTAACAGCTATTCTGTTTTACAAAGGACGTCAATTGGAAACTGGCTAAGTAAACTTCCCCTTCGTTGGTTGGAGGTTGTGTTTCAAATCTTGTGGTTATATTTCCTTCTGCCAAATTCATGTTATTAGGTGGAGCTCCAAGATTTGCACAAGTATAGGTTGTTTCTTCAGCAATTGTCATTGAAATGCATTCAGGCTCGAGTGTGGCTATAGTGACCACTACAAATAGGAAAAGTGAACGTCTCCGGGTTGGGCTTCGTGATGTGTGTGCCCAGTCTGGTTCATTCTAGTGTTGATTCCTTCTGGGAGAAGAATAAGCACTCCTTCCATGGAAAACTTAATCTTCAGTTGAGATGTGCTGGCATCATTCCCAGTATCATTTTCTGTAAAAGTAAAATATAACAGATCTCATTGGGGTTTGCCTGGAGAGGGTACCCCATCAAAAAGAAGGAAACATCCACTGTGCACTAATTCTCTGTTTTGCACCATGTCTATTGGTAGTTTCCCATAATGCTGCTGGTGCTTACTCCACCTTTTCACAGGAATCTCTTCCACTTAGAATGTCATTTTGATATTGGTAGAGTTTCACATCTGGGGGGACGGAGACCACCTGTAAAAATTCAGCGTGTGCAGCATGAGCAATTGTGGGTGAATGTTTGTACCTCTAAAGGAAACTGTTACAGCTCTGTTGCCCTCCCTAACAGGGAAGTGACAGCTGAGCCTCTTCCTGTTCTGTTTAAAGGAATAATTTAAGACGTATCTTTCCCACTTCAGGTTGCCATCCACGAATGTGCAGCTGCTTGCAGTATAGCTGTTATACTTGCACGACTGGGTACTGCAGCTGTTAGTGGGTCTGTATTGGCGTTTAAACACCAGTAATCAACCTGCAAAACACCACTGCACTGTCAGCTGCTTTACTGAAAACACCAGTGAATTATAAAATAAATGAGTCCTTTTAATGATGCCTCTTCTTAATCAATATGCCACCACACCATCAGTCCCTACAAGTGCTATTGTTGGCAGGGGGTACTGCTTTACATCAGAAATTTTAGAAGAAGGCAGTGTTATTGATATGTGTAACAGATTGATAAACTTTTCAGAGCCTGAACTGTCCCACATTCTTTCAGATCCTACTTGTACTCTCAGCAAGCCAGTGCCTCTCACTGTGAAACTCCATAAAGTTCCATCTGGGAGTTTCCGGGAGCACCCACAAAGTAAATCAAATCCTAAAAGGTTTGTTTGGTGGCCCCCACAAACCCTTCAACCTTAGGTATCTTGTAAAGGAGGATGAGACTTGTCTTTGTGCCAGAGGGAAGGGGAAGAAGATCCCCCCAGTCTGTCTCGGGCAGGAGGTGTCAGGAGCAGGGTTGTCCTGCAGCCAGGGGCCATGCTGGGCTGGGAGATGGAGCAGAGGAGAGGGGGAAAGGGGCAGTGACTTTCTCCTCACCTGCCTGGGTGCTCCTCTCTGGTGTCTCCACTTTGGTTTCCCTCTGTCCAGACTGCTGGGGGTCTCAGTATATTGGGGATCCCCCATCTCCAGGGTTCCCTACTTTCAAGGCTGCTGGACGTCCTGGGAATCCCTGGGTTCAGCCCTCTCCAGGATCTCTCCTTCTCCCAGACTACCCCTCACTAAGCTTTGCCTCTTCTGGGCTGTCGGGGGTCCCTCAGTTCCAGTATTGCCTCTCTGTTTTCCCCTCTCCAGGGGTCCTGGCCTTCCCCCAACCCTGCCTCTCCTGAGGAGTCCCCAGAAATCGCGTTCCCGGCCCCCCTGCCCTGGTACTGGCTGATTGCCACGTGGCCCCAGAGATTCCACATCCCCTGCCAACCTCCAGGGCTTGGCTGGCAGCAGGCACCAGGAGACACCAAAGAAATATCATCTCTGATATCCTCCCAATATTTTCCACAGGAGCATTTGGAATCCTGCAAAATCCAGGTATCGCCTCATAAAAAACGAATACTGAGAGACACCACCTCCGGGATATTTGAGGCAAGCCTCCCCTCCCCAGTCACCTGAGGGATGTGAGGAGGGGATGATGCAGTGGTGGATGTTGAGGTCAGTGCTACAGATAAAGCTCTCCTCGCAGTCTGTGCAGCAGAAGGCCCTCTCCTCTTTGCACCTGCTGATGCTTGATAAGATCCAAGCAGGTCCAGAACCTCTTCCCACACTCGGGACACTCATAGGGCCTCTCCACTTGTATGTCCACTGATACTCTATGAGATGCAAGCAGCTCCAAAATGTTTTCTAACACTCAGGACACTTATAGGGCCCTCTCCCCAGTGTGGACACGACGCTGGACAATGAGTTGTGGTTTAAGCCCTTTCCACAGTCAAGTCACCTGCAGAGCCGTTCCTCCGTGTGCAGGTGCTGGTGGGTGATGAAGGTCGTGCTGATGGTGAAGCTCATTCCACATTCCAAGCACTTGCAGGGCTTCTCCTTGGCGTGAAGCTGCTGCTGGACCAAGAAGCAAGAGCTCCAGCAGGATCTCCGTCCGCCTTCTCGTCACAGGGTTGGTCTTTCCTCCTCGGAGCATCATGGGCTGGGTTTGCAGCACCTCCTTGTGGGATATCTCCACGTTTTTTTCTCCCTGTTAAATTCCTGCACGGTGGAGCCACTTGAAAAAGCCTCTTCAACAAGGTTCTGATTTGTCTTCTCTGGTCTCCAACTGCATCTTGTTGCCTGGGGGAGAAAGGGCAAGAAGTGGAATGAATGAGACAAATGAAGAAGAGGACAGAAGAAGAGGAAAAAGGAACAAGGAAAGGAAATAAGAAAAGAGAGTAAACAAGGATAGAAAGCAGCAAGGAGAGGAAGGAGGAGAGGAAGGAAAGAGGAGAAGGAAAAAAACAAGGAATGGGAAGGAGATGAAAGAACACAAAGTAAAAAGAGAAAGGATAGAAAGAAGGAGAGGAAGGAAGAAGGAGATGGAGCAAAAAGGAGAAGGAAGAAGGAAGAAGGAAGAAGGAAGAAGGAAGAAGGAA